AAAAAAAACAAACTTAAGAGGATCGGAAATCACCTGAAGAAGAAAGAAGAAACTCGCTCAAGCCTCAAGAAAAATCTGACTTTTATATTCCGTCGAGAAGAAACCGCGTTTGTCTCTGTGGCAGAGAAAGAATATATAATATTTTGTTTCTTTATCACAGAGACGTAACTAGGTTTTCTACCTTAACCGACCCACCTCTTGGGCCTATAGCCCAATACTATATAATGTGATTTAGGCTATTAATTAATTAATTAGGGGTTATTAAATGATTTTCACTTTGAAAAAAAAATAGGAGTTATTAAATGATTGACTTTACAAAATTTAAAAAGAATCCAAAAGAAATTTATTTTAATGTTGTGTGATCTTTTTTTTTTATAGTGTTTTGATTAATTTTATTAAATTGACAATAAAAAAAATTTTGATTGGTTTTTCACAATTTACTTTAAAATTTGAGAAATTTCAAAAAATGCCACTTTTCAAGTGCCACTTTACAAAAATGCCACACTTTTGAAATCTTTACAAAAATGCCACTTTTTCAAAATTATTTTTTCTTTATATCATTTATGTTTGGGTTAATTATGTTCTATTAGGGTTTAGTTACGAGGGTTTAGGGGGTTTTAGGGGTCCAAACATTTTTTAGGGTTTAGAATTTTAAGATATAAGCTTTATAAATCTATAATTAGTGGCATTTTTGCAAATAGGCATCCCTAAGTGACATTCTTGCAAATGWRMAMAMAAAAAATGGCATTTTTGTAATTGTCCTTTAAAATTTTGTTAAATTCTTCTAAAATGGTAATTCCATAGAACTACTGTAAGATTGAATAACACCACGACTCACCAGTTTGAAGAATGAACCTTAAATGCTCACAGAGTTGGCACTGTTGTCTAGAGACTCAACGAAATGTGAACTTGTGTTTGGCTATATATGAAACCATATGATTAAGAAGACAAGCGAGAGACACAGAGCAAATGGTTTAAGCAAAGCACTAAACCAGTTTTGGTGCTGATTTTGTGTTGGAACTCGTTTTTGACAAAATTGTTTATGATCATTTTTCGGTAAGATTTTTAGTGGAGACGTTCATCGAAATGACCAGAATTAAGGTACGATAGAATCGTCGTCGTAAACACTATAACATAGTGTATTCACTTGTCAAAATCGAGTTGATTTGAATAAGAAATTGAGGTCCAAAGTGGATTATTTGAAAACTTATAAAGCTTCAAATTTAACTAAGTGTAAAAACTAGCAAATATCTCACATTGGAAATTTGGATATAAAATCCTTAGATATATAAAGTGGAGAACTCTTAACAAAGCTTAATACCTTGAATACAATTTGATGTATTAGAGAGAGAAGAATTGGRCCAACAAATCAAAAGATTAATTTTTTGGGATATTTTTTTTTGAATTTTATTATTGATAAAGTCAATAAAATATCTTCTCAAATTAATATTGATAATGTGAGACAAGTGGCAATTAAAGTACAAAGTCAAAATTGATTTGTAACATAAGCACTTATTCACGTTATTATGAGAATGAATTCTCAGCCTCTCTTTATTGCATACGTTAAGCTTTTGTTGCCTACGTTGAGCATTGGTCCTTAATAAAAAGGCCATAATCTTCTCATTTCAAGGAACAACGATCAACACATGATCATCAACAACAATATCTCTCACAATCTTTTTTATTTTATTTTGTTGTGTGTCTGAGAGTATAACACAAATTCTAGCGTTCGTGTGATTTTGTTCTTGAGTTGTACAAAACAGAGTTGATTGCAGTTGTATCCTGGGATTCGGAACGTCACACAACCGTTACAATCCAAGGCGTTTTAAGAATGCTATAACCCTCACTAAGGTTATGACCGGCCGCTTGGGTAAATATCGCGACCAGAGGCCAACCATAGTGGAACGGACACATAAAGCATAGAAAGGAGTGTTCCGAAAAGAATAAAGTAAGGAACGGGTGAAGAAGAATCATTTCGGCTAAGGAAACGGACCCAAACCGCGAACTAGGTACCGCGGGTAATCATGAGACCAGTGATCCATATCGCGGGAAGTGCCGCAGGTAGTGCTACAGAGCAAATGAACACTTACCGCGGGACTAAGGACCCGAAAGATTACTACTCTCTCTTTTTAAATGA